AAGGCACGAAATGGAAAAGAATCGGCGACAGGCCACATCAGGCCTACACTTCAGAGCCGACATCACTATGTTATGTTATGTTATGTAAACAGAATTTGCAATTTTTATTTACCAGGTCGCTGTCCATAAAAAAATTCGAAAAATAAATTAAAAGTTATTTAAAAGAAAAATTATCTTTAGTTGAGCGCAGATGCATGCACATACCATCCCCATACAGCCTGACAGTCCTGTTAGGTGGCAGGGCACAGTTATTACATCGGCGTCTTGGCGACCTCAGAGTCTTAATCAACTCTTCAGACGGGCTGGGCAAAGGCGCGCCAGCTTTTTCTACCGAGGGCCACTTAAAAAATTGGATTGTTTTGGAGGATGCAGGTACATATTTTTTGTACTTCAATCACCTTGTTGTATGCTATGAGTTTTTTGTGAATATTTACCCAGGTATTTGTTTCTTCACTCCATATTAATAATTCAGTTCGAAAGATAATCAGAGTTGTTGATTTGGTAATAAGATTTTATACTTCATTCGTATGTCCATAAATGTTTCTTGTTTTCTATCAGGATAAATATTGGACGAATAATTCAAATTTATTCACTATTGATTCGAATCAAATCGTCAAATCGAAGTTAAAAAATCAGTGAAAACTTCCAACAAATAATGTTACCAAACGCAACGATATAATAATATACTCATAAAATACTCAGGCAGGCCTCTTGCATTCGGGCCGTACAATAATGAGACGGGTGAACTATCAAAGCTTTTCATGATTGATGCTAATTTTGTCGTCAGTAGGCCGGTATACGCTGAGCTAATTGGATTCATGGCTTTGCAATATCTAATATTTTTGTAGTCGTTTTGGGATGTACAAAATATAAAGAACTGTGCCAAACTGAAGTCTGTGGGCAATATCCTACCAAATAAAATTGTTCATTAAGGTGATAATCGAGACATCTCTATCAGGAGTTTTAATCATCGGAGGTAATCCAGCAATGTGGCAGTCTCGAATCCGTATGCAATGCCATGCTGACTATGAATATTTATATGAACCCAATGATAAATATTTTATAAGTTGCTTGACAAAATATCTATGTTCATAGTATAGGAATATAGCCGTTACGATGAATTTAATCATTGCGACTGTGAGCGATAAATCTAAACTAATTGACATAAAACTCATTAATTTGAGAGAAGTGAACATTCTTGATTATATACTTTGATTTTTCCTGCGGCGTCATATTAAACTCTTCAGGATAATTTGAAATTGCTTGCAGAGAACCGCGAACGCAGCTACGCTTCACATTTGGACTAAAGAGAAGCCTGAAGTCTCGAGAACTCGTTACATGAACATCGCATAGATGCAGAGGTTCCGCCAACAAATAATTTTCCCCGATGATGTGCGAGGAAGAGCGTCACTGCAGCGCAGTGGTTAGCGCCGCTATGCGCTGTGATAGCAGCACCCAGATGAGAAGAACTAGCCGTGGCTTCGAGTCTTGCGAACCTCAGTCCATTTCTCGGTGACGCTGGTGAGTGATGTTTGTTCGTCGTCAAAAAGGTGGTGCTTCCTTCTCTGCACGGCTATGGGTTGGTGTCCCTATAAACGAACTCTGGGTACCTGTTACTCGAGAGGATGAGGGAGATGCTACAAGGTCGTGTTGCTCACGGCACAGGCGCAGCCTCTGCCACCCTGCGCTGTAGGGGAACGAAGTGACAGCGATGGACGGGCTGCCCCGCTGACGTTCGTAAGGCGATTGACGTTGAAGTAAGCGGGACTGACGTAAGACGACTTCGTTTAGGGATTTGGCGCCGAGATCACGGAGTACAAGGGACGTTAATTGTTTTCATATTCGAGATTCACTGTCAGAACTTACGTTTGTCGCGCTCAAATCGGTGAAGTGATGCTTACAATATTTTTTTCTCGCGTGCATGTAGAATGTGTAATTTATAAGTTGAGGTCCATAGAAGCTATCTATGGACATATGTAAAAGCTCAGTGGTAAAAAGAACAATTACATGGAAAATCGACTGTGTTTATCAACAAGCTGTGCAATCCGAAGATAAACCTTTTTCTTCAAGACAGAAAATCAGTTTTCTTCAGGACAAAGTGCAAGTCATGTTTGTCGTGTATCTCACAAATAGAAGGATTTACTTTGGCCCATACTTTCAAAACTCGCTAAGTGAACGTAAGTACTTACGCTATATTTTCTAGTCTATGATTGGTGGATTTTGTTTGAAAGTCCGTCAATGATTGACTGATGAACTTACGATCTTTTAACTTTTTTTGAAAGCTATAGGCCCGGGAAAATTACACCCATGTGCGCTAAAATTTTTTGTTTACAAATAGCTCATCCTGTTCTCTTAGAATCTCATACAACTGCATTATGAGATTCTGAATTGATGTCCCTACCAACCTATTTGAAAATAACCTCGAAAGAGATATAACACTCTTGAATTATCAAAATGCATCGTATTTCCTGATTATAGTTTACAAGGTGAAAATTGTCTCTATTAAGCTGCCTTGACAAGGATTCGAGAATCTCTGATCACGCGGTCATTTGCAACGTACGCATTTCATGTCGCTGCATTTAGTAAATACAATATGCAGGACCGTCTTCTATTTCCGATGAGCTTGAGCCTAATGGCAAGTAGATGCGTAGATTTAAAAACTCTGACCTGAAAGAATAATTCTTAAAAGGCCTTCTATAATAAGCTCCTACAATGAATCGCAGCAGTTGACACTTAGAGTCGCGGTGGCAGGAAGGAGAAACAATAGGTCTGTACATCAGCGGCTGACTCTAGTTATGTCTTCTCAGAACTGTTTGCTCGGAAGTCATACTATCTCGTGTAGGTTTTGGTTAACTTTTTGAAAAAAACACGCCCTGACCGTTATGGATCACTGGTTAGTTATAATAATGTCGTCTCTAACTCAGCGTCAGATGATACAGAAGCACCAATGTAAATCCAAATCTCAGATCTACCATCTAGATTACCCTTCAGAGAAAAAAAATTGTGTTAATTCTGTCGTAGTGTGAGGATTGTGCTTTCTCATTGTGCTCATGTCTTCCAGGTCTTAACCGGACCATGGCAGACAATATAGCCAACTTTGCCGCGCTGGACCAGCCTTCCAGCCCTGGGATGATGCATGACCACTCCCAGACGAGAGGATTCATTCTAACTTTATCGTGCATTCTTGCCGCGTATCTCATCCTCTTTATGCGCATCAGCATGGGTAAGTTCAGAAGCAAAAACGCCCTAACATTAAATTATTTGTTCTCAAGTACCCTTGAATTTATTTCAGGCATTCTAGAGCGATGAAAATTTTGGGGCATCTGTGCTGAAGTGATAGCTGCCTCTGTAATGTGAATAAGAATGGTAAGTGGGGTTGTACGGTAATGAGTTACTTGAACTAAGATTGAAAATTTTGTGGTGCGTGTTTAATTGTACAGATAATTGGACTGGCCTTATTAGGTTCATCCGAATAATAATGTTTAAAAAATCTCATACGTCCCCTTCCTACATACGAAATGTAACAATTTAATTTGCTGGCAATAGAAATAAATATGACAATGAGCAGAGATTGTGGCGTCGGTTTCGGAATATCTGCTGTGTTCAAACAGTGAAGAGCAGAAGAGGCCGGTGCTGATGTTCCAAGCCTAAAACTCCCTTCCTTAAATTATCAGGCGTATCATGAAGCAGTCGTGTCCAGGATACCCAGGGTGGAACAAAATGTCCTAACTAACTACGTAGGATGATGGTATATATTAAGTCAATTGAATTTTTCGACACATTTATAGAACAGCATTTACTGAACACCAGCGCGTACTGGTGAGGTTTGTACGTAGTTTTAAGTGCTGTATGTACAGCTGCTTAATTGCAGTTCATCAGTAATATGAACTTGCATTTCCCAATACAGATAGAGGCAACATTTTTATTTAGAACTGAAGGTGTCTCATCCTTTATATTCCCGCCTCTTGAAATTAAGGGGTGTGTACGGTGATTTATTTATTTTCATTGATTTTATTGTCATGGCATCTAGTGTTGATGCTACGCAGTTTAAATAGATTGGCAAGATTTAAGCTTCCCACCCTTCCAATGAAGATATGTCGATAAAGTCAGAGAATGACTAGTTTACGTAGTTCGCTCGCCGGTTTCGAGATTTTAAAAATATTCATAATAATTTGCGTTAAAATCGACAGTAAATTCCAGATTTTTTCAAACCTTCATAATAATTTGGGTCATATAATAATAATAATAATTTGTAAGCCTATTCAGTCTCACGAGAATACAATGATAACTCCTGACATGGCGGGGAGTGTTGTTCTCCGCTGAAATTTACCTAACTGCGCTGGGCACCGCAAAATCTTGCATTTGCCGCCTGAAAAAATTTAAGAACAGCGGCAAAAAAAGTTTGAACCGAGGAGTATGGATTAAGGGGAGCGTCTACCCTAAAATTGAGAATTTTCATTTTTTCTGTTTTTATACTATTTTAAAGCTGGCATTCTGCCCTATCCAACGGTACCACTGCCATCTCTGTACGTTGATTTATGGTTTCACGACATTTCATGAAAGGGGTGCGGGGGGGGAGTTCTTTAAGTAATTAGATAGGAACTAATTAGCTGCTGAGCTCTTTAAATAAGTGTCTACTTGAGTTGTGCTGCAGTTACGTGTTTAGTCTTACCTTAAAGCTGACATTCTGGCCTATCCAACGGTACCATTACCATCTCTGTACGTTGAATTATACGTTCACGACTCTTCTTGAAAGGGGGCGGGGGGGGGGGAGTTATTTCAGTAATTACATAGGAGCTAATTCGCTGCACAGCACTACAAATACAGTGTTTCTATGAGGTCTGACTCAGTGTGCCTGCGGGCGTTGTACGGACAGATGCGCATGTAGTTGCTCCCATCATCCTTGAGTGGAATCAAGCTCCAGAAACGTTTAGTTTGGTATCTATGCTACATTGAGCGCATATTGTGGTGCGCGCGGGACTTAGTCGCGCTCTCCTCAACACTCACGCTTATTGTCACGGAAAACCTATCTCCTCCTAGAGTTTTTAAGCTACAACAATGAGACATATACCATTCGATGCGCAACAAAATTATCTACACTTGAACACGGGCGTTTTTCTAATTTCGTTATAGTTTGGATTTTATTCCGCAAAAGGTGGTGGGTTGAGGGGGTGAAATCGAAAAAATTTCGAAAAATTTACGAAAAATGCTCCTACACCCACAAAAATGAGAAATCCAAAAAACCGCCGTGTTCAGTTTTAGATATGGTCTTTACGCATCGAATGATATGCGTCTCGATGTTCTAGCTTGAAATCCTAGGAGGAGAGATTTCTACGGTACCCCCTTTTTTGGCCGTTTTCTAAGATTTTCACGTTTTCTTTCATTTTTCGAAAAATTCACATGAACAAAAAAGTCTTAGATTTCTGTTTTACATATGTGTACCAAATTTCAGAGTGATCCGTCTGTAAATAGCCGAGATAAATTTTACCCTAGACGCTCCCCTTAAAGCTGGAATGTCTTTGTGCAGTTCTCACGACGTCGCAGCGGGATTATCTTGAGAGCTTCTTGATCGTGATGGCTTTGATTGTTGGGATGGAGACGCTAGCCGTTCTGTGCATTAAGTACGGGATCGGCACTGCGGGACCGCGCAGTGGCGAGGATGACGCCATTGACGGCCACCACCCCGACAGCATCGATAACCGCCACGCCGACAGCATCGATAACCGCCACCCCGACAGCATTGATAACCGCCACCCCGACAGCATCGATAACCGCCACCTCGACAGCATTGATAACCGCCACCCCGACAACTTATGTATGATATTTTATAATTGACGTGTACTAATTAATACTTATTGCGTAATCGTAGCTGATTTTAACTTTTAAACGTAATTTTATGAATGATATGTGTGTAATTAATAAATGCTGACTGGGCAACCTGCCGAACCTTCTATTGAGTATAAAATGAAACAAATGATGGAACCCAAAACTCGTTTGATTGAAGAACCTGCCTGCGCTGATTATCTTTATCACAGCGTTGAGCGTTTTTCGCTGATGAGGTTCCATATGCTAGATTCTGTAATAAAATGGGTAAATATGTGAGTGATCCTGAACAAACTAGATCATTCAATCTCAAATAATGAGCCATGCAACACTCACATTGATGATGGAAGCTTGTGAACGTGATTTTAGTTAAGTAGTTATATCGCTGTGGAACGTGTCACTCACTGTACACGAAATAAATTAGCAATCAACTGCGTCCCCGGCGCCAGTCACATTCTACGAGCACCTCAGAGAGAAGGCTTGTCCGAGATCACGGCTACATCCCATCAGACATCCGACGTCGAATCAACGTTGAATTATGCGTTGTTTAGTCGAAGAAGAGGACAAAGCCGAGTTGTGCACGGCTGATTGGTGTAGGTCCGGAGAGATCCAAGGCGTTCGATTCAGGGCTTATTGGTGCACAAAATTGGTAGTGCACGGCTGCGCTCCCGAATCAACGTTGAATTATGCGTTGTTTAGTCGAATGAACGGTAATTAATCGTTTTTTTAGCGTCATATGCCAGGTGAAACTTGGTGCAGAATGGGGAAATTCTGCTGTGTTGAGTTCCTAGGTCAGGCTGTTATTGGACTAGGTTGCACATGTAGCCGTAATGTAGGTTTCGATTGAAAAGATTCACCCTAACATAGGCAGCGAATTTTAACTCTTGTTCACTATTTTGTAGCTAATCTCGAAAAACAAAAATATTCCAGGAAAGACCCAGGCGTTCTGTAAAATTTTCAAACGCTTATGAAAGTGATCGCTGAATTGCAGGAACTTGCTGTAACGAGAACATTGAAAGATTCCAAGTGGTGGGCATACTTTTTTTTTATTTGAACAGTCATCTGTAGCAGGAATATTTGTTCCAGGTCCTTAACGATCGTACAAAATTTGTGACACTTCTGCAATGTAGCGATGAGCCTACTAGCTGTTTGAAAGCTGACGGCAACGATGATGAAAAATTATCGGTAGTACCATGGTTGTGTGTGACGTGGAAAATCTTACTTTTTCATGAATATACAAAAACGGTCAGTTTTTCTTCTTATTAAACTGATACAACTAATTCCAGGGCACGTATGGCTAGTAAAGCCTCGAAATATAATCGATCAATGACACAGTGTGATTTACAGTAAAATTTGAGGCACCATATAGAATAACAGTGTCTGTGATGAACAAAAAAATGTTGAATTAACGTTCCAAAAGTGTGATGTGAGGTAGCGCATTGTTAGCAGGTAAAATTATAAGGCAATTACGGTACACAAGGCTTTATTGAAATGTTAGGGTGGAGTACAGCGTTGAGGGGGGTGAGGGTAGGGGGGGAGGGTGCAGGGGTCATCGGGTACACGGCTGAGCACAGCAAAACAGCGATGCCCACATAACCTCTCTCTTAAAAAACACTATTGAAAATCTCAGCCCGATTATCGGCGGAAATGCAGATAATCGATGATAAAATGGCTGTGATTTAAAATAGGGATTATCGATGCAATATTTTACGATAAATTCGTTGGCGGGGCGCGAAGGTTAGCCACGGAAAGTTATGGTCGATATGAATTGCAATACTTGATTTAAAATGAAATTCTTCAGGTAATAAATTTATGCTCGTGCCACTAACGGTGGTTTGTCGGCAGATAATGCATCTATAATTCACATTAATGAGAACACAATTCAGTTACACGCCTTTTTATTTTCAGCCAATCACAGCCCCGTAAAGTATCATCGATCATTACCGACACAAGGGACACGAGTTTACAGTTCTTTATCCACCTAAAAATCCACCTACAAATCCACCCCATCCAAAACTTCAGGCCGACCTGACATGAGACCGGCCATATTCCGTACCTAATATAAGAGTTGTTTATAATGGGTTTATGTTGAATGTATGTAATGTTGCGGCAGTATCTACAAAACAATACCATACATCGATACCAGGTAACAGAGGTAAGTAATATAACCACGCTTCTTGTTGATCTTGCATATTGTTGACGATCTAACCTAAACGCGGTCTCTGACCCTGATCACAATTATCTTCTTGTTTTGCTGTTAATTATAACCCTACTTCTAACCTAAATACATAGAAAAACATTTCTTAATTAAAAATAACTATTATATGAAACCATCGTCGCATTTTCGGTGCTTTCCCTCGGACCATCGGAAAGACGACGATATATAATGTGTCTATAAATAAAATGAGGGAAAATTTCGCTGTTTGTGACTAAGGGATAAATATCGGCACCACTGACAGCACGAGCACTTCTTCGGTGTTAAAGATCAGTGTTAAAACCACGATCACCGGAGAAATAACAACAATCGTGGAAATCGTAATATTCGGTAAACTACCGATTATCATCGTTGGAGATCGCGATTATCGGAAAACAAACGATCATCCTGGAACTTACGGTCACCTTTTAACATCAATGATTTTCTAGATTTAAAAAAAATCATTACGTTAATTTGAGCGGATTCTATTCCATATTTGCATATACAGTTTCACCAAACTCAGCTTCGTACAAACCTCGGTTCCTCTTTAAACACTCGAATCTCGGGCAGATGCAAAACTTTACTGTAGATATGATGCCCCAATATTCTATTGAAAAAATGGGCGATTCATGGGTAGCCTGAAAATGTACGAACATCATCTTCCGATGCCCTAGTTACTAGAGTTACGTAAACTAGTTCCTCAAGCTCTCTATTTATTGGGAGAAACGTTGACTGAATAGCAAGCTTCATGTTACAGGTTCGTGATATCAATGAATTCCCAGTAGCTTTCAACGGAATAACATTCGACTGTAGCATTTAAAAAACAATATCTAATTTTATAAACACATACAGGGAAGTGAAATGAGATGGGAATACATGAAGAACAAATCCAGTTTTTGGTATTAACGTATGGGAACACCAATAGCTAATAATTTAACAATATTAACATATATTCAAAGCGAACACTGAAATTCTAGAACTTGCGGCCTTAAAAAACAACCTCTAAGCGCTTCATTGATGTTTTGCGCATTGGAATTTTCGTTGGGACTTAAATGGGATAAATAAAGCATGAAAATAGCAATACAGGAATAGGGTTTGATTTGCGCAGGAAGCTGTTAATTCCCGGGTACAATTAAAACGAGAATTTACACAATTAAGTAATTTAATTACTTTAATTTACACAATTAAGTAATTTAATTGCTTTAATTTACACAATTAAGTAAAGCAGTGTGCACTGCTTTACTTCGTCACGCGGATGCATTGCTGCAGGGAATACGCATACGAACAATTAGTACAAAATTTTGTAGAAATGTTAATGAAAAAATTGACCCTTTTCATCGGAAAAAATAATGTGCATGATCTGGTAGTGGAAAAAAATTGTTTCTTCGTGTCACGTAGTCATTTAAGGAAAAAATATTAATAAGAAGATACTGCAACAAGTTGCAGCATTTATCGCTGATAGTTGATAAAAATATAGCATATAAAAACTGACTATACGTGAACGACTAAATAAAAAATGACAGCGTCTAGATTGCCGCACGTCGATGTTGGTTTCGTTGGTGTTATATCTCATTTAATTATATATTCTTCGGCATTATTCATTCTGGATATGCACCGGTGACTTATAAAACATAATTATTGACAAAAACTCGGTATAAACAAGTACAAATCAGTAACAAAAGCTCCTAATAATATAACAACGCTGATAGCTAATACTGACATACAATAAACTAGACGAGAATTTAAACGGGAATAATCAAACGACTTTCTGGTCTGAGGCTAATTGAGTGATGAACACCACCCGCAACAAATTCGGTCTGTCATCACCAAAATTTTTATTTGTGAGGTCAGAAGCAGCAGCATCGAATAAAACTATTGTGATCTTAATTGTGGACAAAATTATGGACAAAATCATTGCTTTTTTTTTTACTTTTTGGACTTGAGGAATGCAGTTGTCACAGCCACCAACATATTGGTTGATAAATTGACAAAGTATTTCAACCTTTATAGGTGGCCACCGATACGCCTACCAAGACTACGATCTCGTGTTTGATGAGGATAATAATCGTTAACTATCGTGGGTACGACAACGATCGTGTACCAATGACAAGGTTCACTTTATGATCACGAATGATCCAAATAATTCACAGCGCCACTCCCCCTGATCTCCCCACACAGAGGGATTTGGGGTGTACACTCGAGCGACGCTCCATGGAGATTCAGGATTGAGGGAGTTTTGGAGTACGTCAAGAAATAAAAGTAGTCTCAGCGAAGTAGGGCAATTATGGTAGAAACCTGCAAGTTATTGAGGGATGTCACTTACCAATTTAGACACACGTGGTGTAAATACACCGAGGAATTCGATCAAACATATCCGTGCTATCCAGCCGGCTGCTTAACACCATCACATATAATATATTTTAAAGGATCCATAGACTGGGCACTTGAAATAGTTCAGTGGACAATGCGATGCCCGTTCTGGTGAGAGTACTTTTCTCTGTCTATTTAAGTTGGATAGATTAGGAAAAATACACCAAGAGCTGTAAGCCGTCAAAAACATCTATCCAAAGATTGAATTCAGCAAAAGTTACTTCTTGTACAACAATGGTCCACGCCAACACCTCGTAAGATGCACCGTATTATCCTACGGTAAGTTCTCAGCTGTAGTATCCTCGCTGGACTCCCTGCCTCTTCCTATTATGCCACTTGCAGGTGAGAATCCTAACGTAGGTTCTCCTGAACGAGGCATTGCAGAGAGCGTACAGCATTGGGTTGATGGTTGAATTTACATAACACAAGTAGTAGCCAAAATTCCAGAGCACTTCTGGAATGCAGTCGGTGGCCGCGCCACACTTCAGAATCGGGTTGATCAGAACCATCACGTTGTATGGCGTCCAAGTTATGATGAACGCCAGTAAAATTGCAGATAAAGTCTTAGCGGCTTTGCGATCTTGCTTTTTCTCCGATGTTTTCTTCTTCTTTTTCTTTCTGGTTCCTGTTCCAGTATTGCTGCTGCCGCTGCCTGAATTTTTAGCCAACTGTTTTGGAATGATTTTAGCGTTGAGTGGCAGTTTAATGTCATTTGTTGAGGAGGGAGGACGTCGGCTTGAGTTTGGAGACGTCGCGTTAGGCCCACCAGGATGCAATGAACATTCGGTGATGCGTGACGTGGCCGTACTGCCGCCACTCGGATCTGAACACACGGAGTCTCCTCTTCTGACGAGAGGTGAAGTATTCCTGATGAAGGGACGCGCCCCTGAAGAAAGGTAACCTCCTTCATATCCTCCACCAGCAGCAGCGGCAGCAGCAGCCTCCTCTTCGATCATAAGGATGGTTGGTTGATGAAGTGGTCCATCAGGCGATGGTTCGTGCGGTAGCCTGATTAATATCGTGTATACGGAATCGGACGAGTGGGAGCGAGCTTGTAACCTACCACTACCACCACCACCACTACTACCGCTAACCATACGACTACCAGGTCCTTCCGTCCGTGGTAGAGTGGAAGAACCGGATGTATGATGATGCAAGTGATGATGGTGCATATGGTGGTGGTGGTGCAGGTACTGCTGGTTGGGATGGTCTGGTTTCTCAGCTAATGGTATCATGGAAGTATTCCTGTACCGCGCAGGATTGGCGGACAGAGTTTGTTGGTCTCGGATGAAGTTCAGAGACGTACACCGAGATACAGACCCAGCGACCTGGGTCTCCGCAGACCCCGGAGTATGATACCCCATAGGGGTCTGGTAGCCTCCGGGTGTCGTGTAACCCGGGGATGGTTTCCGGACTTCGTCGCCCGGGTCTTCGCGGTCGACGGTTCGCTTGATGCAGGAAGTCAGGCCGCGGCAGCAGGAGGAACTTTTCTTCTTTGCCTGAAACATGAAAAATCTTGCTGTAGACTTAATAAAAGATTACATTACTAAATCTTTATGAATGGCGTTTCAAGGCGGACACCGCAAGGAATGGACGTGCATAAAAGAGCTCAATTTATCATAATTCGATACTAATTAATATAATAAACGGCCATTGATGTATTGGCAGCAAGATATGAAAACGGGGCTACAGTGAAGAATTTAGGCTTGGATGTCTGTTAGGGTCATGGAATTTTTAGCATTAAACATCATCTTCGATTGGGAGCATTTTTGCACTGTTTAGCTGCTCAAATCATTCAACGTCTGTTACATTTGCAAAATAACACACTTCAATGCATCACGTAATAATGGGTATTCAAGGGACTTATGGCTGGCCGTCTGATATTGGCCGTCCATCACTCACACGACGGCCATTGAAGGCCGAATTATCGATGACCATCGCCGTCGGCACGTAGGTGGTCTCGATGTCGTCCATCGCGGTGGACGATTCCGACCGCTGCCTCTTCCAGTCCTCCTGCTCTACCGCGTCGTCCGCCTCACTGCAAGATAAGTTCTATTTAACGTTCGCCTCACTACACGGTCGAGTCCACTGAATGTCAGCTCACTACAAGACAAAGCCTGTTGCATGCCCGCCTCACTGCACGACCAAGTCCAATGAATTTTCATGAATCAGAACTTTTGAATCATGCATACGGAGCTCAATTTCTCACTGAGGGACTCATTTCTCACTCATTTCGAGGCTGATGCACAAAGCTTCTTTGTCGGCGGCTACTCTACCACTATATACGGCTATGAGTCAGCCGTCGCCCGTGTAAGAATTATCACAAGTGGCGCCCAGCAAAGAACAAGTAAACAAATTAAACGCAAGGGTAGGAATCGAGATTCAAAGACCGCCGGTAATGCGGCCATAATTTGTAACTTGAATATTAAAAAAGTAAGTTTACACTTCATTGGCGAAGTAAAGGCGGCAAAACATAGGCCGCACTGAAGCCTTTGATTTTCTGGAGACTGCAATACAAACTGCAAACTGTGACCCAGAATGTGACGTGCTTGACTATGGCCCTGAATGTGACGTGCTTGACTATGACCCTGAATGTGACTTGGTCCTCCCAAAAGGAAGCAGTCAGACAACGCATGCAATAATTATGTGCGGCATATGGGTGGCCAGACAGCACATGCAATGACCACTAACTATCAGTGCTAAGGATATTCGGTGAAGGCATTGAGGGCCGCTAGCACCGCCATCACTACCAGGACAAGAAAAAAACCTTAGCAACCATGCAATTTTTTTACCATCCACGAAGAAATAAATAAAAATAAAAAAAGCTATCAAAAGTAGTTAATTTTCAAAGAAGAATAAAGTTGAATTAATATATTAAAGCATTAATGCACGCGGTCACTAAAAGGCTTTAGTTAACATGCAATGAGAACTGATGGTAAAGAGTGGGAGGTACGCGAGAGAGTGGGAGCGTGAAGTGCACTTGACTGAGTGGGGATTGAAGAAAAAATGGTGAAAATGTGAGGGGGGAGGCTTGATTGGGAGGGGGAATGGGGGAGTTGTGTGTGGGTAGAGAGAGGAGCGGTATGAGGGGTGAGGCTCAGTGCGGTATGATGGGTGAGGGAAATGAGGGGTGAGGCGTAAAGAGAGGGAATGCAGTGATACGAGGTGTGAGGGGTGAGAGGTGTGAGTGGTATGAGGAGTGAGGGGTAAGGGGTATGAGGAGTATGAATTGTGCGGAATGAGGGATGTGTGGGTTATGAACGGTGAGGAGTGTGAGAGGTGCAGGGATATGAGGAGTGAGGGGTATATGAGAGGTATGAGGAGTGAGGGTATATGAGGGGTATGAGTGAGGGGTATATGAGGGGTATGAGGAGTGAGGGATGAGGTTACCTCCTGGACACGACGTTGTCGGTATAACTGAGAGGGTCGGGCGAGATGGCGGACCCTCTGTAGCGTGTAGCGTGACGCGTGGTGAGGCGTGTTGGTGTTGCAGCAGAAGGCGCAAGCAGAAGTGCAGGAAGAGCAGAAGTTAGTGCATGAATACAGAGGCAGTAGCGGTGGGCGACGTGTGGGCAATCATACAGGATTGTCAATCGTGAGTGACATTCATGATCGTCAATCACAAATGGCAATCGTGAGTGACATTCATGATCGTCAATCACAAATGGCAATCGTGAGTGACAGTCATGATCGTCAATCACAAATGGCAATCGTGAGTGACATGCATGATCGTCAATCACAAATGGCAATCGTGAGTGACATTCGTGATCGTCAATCACAATTGGCAATCGTGAGTGACAGTCATGATCGTCAATCACAAATGACAATCGTGAGTGACATTCATGAGTGTCAATCACAAATGGCAATCGTGAGTGACATTCATGATCGTCAATCACAAATGTCAATCGTGAGTGACATTCATGAGTGTCGATCGTGAGTGTCAACCACGAGTGACAAACACGAATTTCAACGAATCAGTGTGACATACAATTTATTCGTGCATCCATATTAGTGCTTCGTTAGGAAAAACATATTTATTGTTTCATTATAAAAAACATTACGAATGAGATACAGAAATTTTCAAAGTAGAGGGCCAAGCAACATTCTAGGTACGAATAGCATTATTAATGAGGGAAAATTTTATTTATAGTAATGGTTTAAAGTGTTTAAAATTACAATATTTGGATGAAAAACATTATACATGAGAGAACACTTTATATGGCATTGGCAGTAGAAAGTCAAGTAGAGAAAAATGAGGTAAAGCAGAACATGGGGAGACAGGTAAATAATTTATATATTTTAGGGTAACATTTAACAACAGTTTAGGGTAGTAATTGCACAATTAAGTTAGTGCGTTGATTGACGTGGCAGAGAAATGTTTTACCTTTAATATATAAAATAATTAACGTGTCTCACTGTCCCCCAATTCTCCCTACCACGCTACGGCACTAATGGGTTAAGTATTTCACAAAGGCAATAATGGGTTAAGTACTCCTCAAAGGCAGTAATGGGTTAAGTACTCCTCAAAGGCAGTAATGGGTTAAGTACTCCTCAAAGGCAGTAATGGGTTAAGTATCCCACAAAGGCAGTAATGGGTTAAGTACTCCTCAAAGGCAGTAATGGGTTAAGTACTCCTCAAAGGCAGTAATGGGTTAAGTACTCCGCAAAGGCAGTAATGGGTTAAGTACTCCTCAAAGGCAGTAATGGGTTAAGTACTCCGCAAAGGCAGTAATGGGTTAAGTACTCCGCAAAGGCAGTAATGGGTTAAGTACTCCTCAAAGGCAGTAATGGGTTAAGTACTCCGCAAAGGCAGTAATGGGTTAAGTACTCCGCAAAGGCAGTAATGGGTTAAGTACTCCTCAAAGGCAGTAATGGGNGACAGTAGATGTTACGTGACAGTAGATGTCACGTGACAGTAGATGTTACGTGACAGTAGATGTCACGTGACAGTAGATGTTACGTGACAGTAGATGTCACGTGACAGTAGATGTTACGTGACAGTAGATGTCACGTGACAGTAGATGTTACGTGACAGTAGATGTCACGTGACAGTAGATGTTACGTGACAGTAGATGTCACGTGACAGTAGATGTTACGTGACAGTAGATGTCACGTGACAGTAGATGTTACGTGACAGTAGATGTCACGTGACAGTAGATGTTACGTGACAGTAGATGTCACGTGACAGTAGATGTTACGTGACAGTAGATGTCACGTGACAGTAGATGTTACGTGACAGTAGATGTCACGTGACAGTAGATGTTACGTGACAGTAGATGTCACGTGACAGTAGATGTTACGTGACAGTAGATGTCACGTGACAGTAGATGTTACGTGACAGTAGATGTCACGTGACAGTAGATGTTACGTGACAGTAGATGTTACGTGACAGTAGATGTTACGTGACAGTAGATGTCACGTGACAGTAGATGTTACGTGACAGTAGATGTCACGTGACAGTAGATGTTACGTGACAGTGCATTGTGAAATGAAATTCGCAATGTTGCCCATGAGACGATGTTACTTTATTTATATTTGCCGAATAATTCGAGAAGAATTTATAGATAAGTAAAGACTGTTAGTGTTTCGATTTGTTAGTTCTTAACGTTTTCAGGATCAAGTAATCATTATTTTAATTATTGGTCTCTCAGCTTTCTGTGTATTGAGATTTTGCAGGATTTAATTTGTTTTCAATTTTCAATATACCTGCCTGAAATATGTTGTTGATGGCAATTTGGAATTAAAATTTCTCGATACATAATTTTGGAAGGCTATTAGCGGTCACTTCTCGGTAAATTGGAAGGCCTGGTAGAAGAAAAATCCTGAAGTCTGGATAAGAGAAATTCACATATTATTCTAGGTCTTTTTATCAGAGAAGAGAAAATTATTTTACCCCTTAATAAAATCATTTTAGTCGTTGATAAAAATATTTTAGTCGTTTATACAATTATTTTACCCGCTACTAGAATTATTTTAGTCGTTAATAAAATACTTTAGCCGATAATAAAATAATTTTAGTCGTTCATAAAATAATTTTAGTCGTTAATAAAATTATTTTAGTCGCTAATAAAAATAAAATCCTTTAGTCGTTATTAAAATAATTTTATTTTCATCAGAGGATGGAAGCCAGCGCCGATGTAGCGAGAGCAGCAGGCAGTACATCTTCTTTAACGCTGCGTCTGCGCTACGCAACGCAGCGCTAACTCGTCTGTAACATCTCAACGTCACGCTGATAACACCTCAACGTCACGCTGATAACATCTCAACGTCACGCTGATAACATCTCAACGTCACGCTGATAACATCTCAACGTCACGCTGATAACATCTCAACGTCACGCTGATAACATCTCAACGTCACGCTGATAACATCTCAACGTCACGTTGATAACATCTTAACGTAAAAATTAAAGAATTAATTTAACAATTTATACTTCAACATATTTCCAAATATTTCTATTCCCTAGTTTGAAAAATTTTTTGATGAATCGGTCTTGCATTCTGTCTTATTATCGATGTCATAAAATGTTGGACGATGCATGTGCGTATATTACTTTAAATGAAGTGAAACTGTGTTTAAACTATTTAAAGTCAAAGAAACTGTGTGTGTGTATGTAAAATATTTAAAGTTAACTGACTATCCTTATTTATTGCAGAATCTTAATTAGTATTCACAGCGTCATGCGTCGTGAGTAAAAGCGTCATATTTCGTGAGTAACAACGTCAAGCTTGCGTCGTCAAGAGTTATTTAAGTGAAGAATGGGCGAACAAACATCAAAATTCAAAATCCAAACTTCGCTAACCATTATTGCAGCGGATTTAAACAATAATTGATACGCAGAATAGTGATGTACCTTCATTATATTCTATTACAACTCTCCGATTACAATTTGGGCTAAGTTTTTTTTATCAGATTTCTTCGTTGGTTTGGGTTTAACTTCAATATGAAATAAAATGTTCGAAATTTAATTTTTATTTACCGCATTAAAAGTTCCGGACGAGACTATTCCGTTAAAAAACAGTTCAAATTAATTGTGTTTATCGAATACATCGCTGCTACTCGTATCGCTGCTACGGCATATCGTTTCAATTTTTTTAATCCTGGGACGATTTCTGGAATTTCAAACTCAAGTAGGCTTTGGAATAAGGCTAAGTAATAGAAGAATGTGTGTAGATGACCGCAAATATTCGTAGATAGAGCTCTGTAGATATGTTAGAGATGTTAGAGTAAACTATCGTATATAAGTGAAGGTGGGTAGATAACAAAGGGTATTATCCGCACTTTGGTTAGCTCGTCCTTCTCTCGCCTACATTATTCTTGTTATTGCGAGCATCGCAGGTTAGTGGAAACGTCGGAAGACGGGGCATGAGACGAGGAAAGACGGCTACAACTAAGTCCATGCTGCAGTGTGGCAGCAACAAAACGTTCGAGTGTGGCTCGACCGGCAGTGTAAGCGCCGCGGGATGGGGGCGCTAGGGAATGTTATGTATGTCAGGCAAGGTGGTTAACTGGGAGTAAATGAGTGTAGAGAATGAATGATACCCCTCTAGCTTAATATAGGGTAGAGAAATGTGGTATAATCGAGTGTAGGGTAGCTCTTGTAAATATCGATGGGTGGTAAATTAGTGTATTAGTGTAGGTTGATCGTTGTTGACATGATAGTATGGTAGAGGAGAGTTGAGTAGATGAGTGTAGGGTGTTGGAGCGCTGTTGTGTTAGTGGCAGTATAGTCTAGAGTGTTTTTGTATATGAGTGCAACAAATAGATGAGTGAGTGATGCATGAAGGTAGATGAAGGTAGACGTACCTGAAGTATCTAATTGGTCACGCGTAGATGAAGGTAGACGTACCTGAAGTATCTATCGAAGGAGATGATGAGGAGGTTGAGCACAGAGGCGTTGGAGGCAAGGTAGTCGAGGGCGAGCCACGTGTCACACAGGAACGGCCCCAGAGGCCACCTCCCCATCAGGAGGTACAGCGAGAACAGAGGCATTGAGATGGTCCTGTGAACGAAGGGTGAGAAGGCTGGTCATTTATTGGGCTATGACAACACCAAGGGCGTCGACAACTAGAAAAATGACAACTAGATCGTCGTACGCTGCTACGCGAGCCGCAGCAGCAACGGAGCTTCACCACACCACCACCACTATTACATTCAACATCTCCATCATCACATTCCCTTATCTGATCCATTATGAAACTTATATTATCAGTTTGCTTATATCGCAAGTTCACAAGAAATTTAAAAGCAAAGGAAACACCAAGCAAATTCACCATATCGATATTGAAAACGTTTCTGAGTCCAGCTCCATCATCAGTTCGAAAAACTAAAAATGAATAAAATCAAATATTATATCAACAATTTAATTTGATTTTATTCATTTTTAGTTTTTCGAACTGATGATGGAGCTGGACTCCGAAACGTTTTCAATATCGATATGGTGAATT